GGTGCTGAGAGGTGAACAACTTGCTCAAGATCATATGGTTATTAAGGTGTACTATCTAGATTTGTACCCAGGAAGTACAGCTTCAGAGCCTATACCCTAAATCATCCTGCTCTTTTGCCTCCCCTTACCTCCTTGGGCTAGATTCTTAATCTGCATAATGAGAAAATAAAATCAGATTACAACTCAAGTCCTTTGTAGCACTGACATTTTATTTTGCCAGCAAGTCTTCTAATCAGCTTACTTTAGGACAGTAATGGGACAAAAGTGACTGCTCGCACATCTGCTGGCTACCAAGTAGAGAGCAACAGCAGAGGCTTTGGGGTAGGCCAGTGAAGTAATTCAAGCACTGAGTAATCCAAAGCTAGACAGGAAAAGGAGTTCAGCTGAGGCCTTCTCTTTGCCCCAAGGAAAGGATATGCTTCTATGACACCAGCAGCCTTTCTGAGTAGGCCTCAAATTCACTCACATACCCATGCTATTACAAACGGGAAGTCATTTAAAAACCTGGTAAGAGCCGGGCTCGGTGGCTCAGCCTGTAATCCCGCGCCTTGGGAGGCTGAGGCGAGTGGATTGCCTGAGCCCGCGGGTTTGAGACCCGCCTGGGCAACTTGGCGAGACCTCATCTCTACAATAAATCAAAAAATTAGCCAGGCGTGGTAGTGCACGCCGGTAGTTCTGGCTACTTGGAATGCTGAGGCGGAAGGATCGCCGGAGCTCAGCAGGTCGAGGCTGCGGTGGCCGGGGAGCGGCCACTGCACTCCAGTTTGGGTGACAGAGTGAGACTCCAACTCAGAAAAACAAAACAAAACAAAACAAAACAAAACCTGGTAAGAGAAAAGTCACCTATCAGGTACAATGTGCACAGGCAGGGGTAGTGGGTACACTTAAAGCCCAGACTTCTTTGCCACTATACAGTGCATCCATATAACCAAAAATAATTTGTAACTATTAAAGCTATTAAAATAAATAATAATAATAATAAAATTAATTTTTTTTAAAAGCCTGGTAAGAAACCACAATAGGCTCTAAATGTAGAGTCTTCAGAACACCAAGCAACTTTTATCCTCTTGGGGTCAAAGGTCTCTTTGAGAACTTTATCCAAGCTTTCTCCCATCCCTAGGGAAAAAAAATGCCATATGTGTGTTCACTCAGATACACAAGTACACACAATTTCACCTGCAATTATAAAGGGTTCACAAATTCCCTTAAATCCCCTCCTAGACTTTAAGTATCCCTGAAATAGATCTATCTCGTCCCAGGCTTATCCTCCCCAAGGGATTCAGAATTGGCCCAAGATCTGGGTTGGGGTTTCTAGGCAGCTGTGCTCGAGAGACAAATTATCTACTGCAACTGGCATAATTAATCCTACATGGAAAAGAAAAAGGGCCCTCTCTTGCTCCCCCACACTAATTTGTGCTAAGAGAATTCAAACAGATCTGTAATTTAATCCTCAAACTCTAATGGATGTGAAATATAGAAGTATAACAAGGATATTTCATGCTCCCTTTTGCCTGATACCCATAAAACCTTATAGAACCATAAAAAAGTTGAAATAAATGCAAAAACATCCAAGTCCCCATGACACTATGTTCCCTCATTTATTCCAAGAAAGAAATCAGTCAAGACTGCCAATTAGCCGTATTAGAGGATTTTTCTCCCATATGGGCTCTAAAAACTATAGGTTAACAAAGAAGCCATATAATCTCACCCACACCTGAAGAAGTCAAAACAGGAAGATATCCTTTCCCCCATAATACTGGCAATAGTTTAAGTTTGGTGAGGGTCTGGAGAAACATGCAATCTCATACACAGTGGACAGATTTGTCAGTGTAGTCTCTGACCGTAAAAATTTGATCACTTTTATGAAAAACTTAAAAATACACACCCTTTGATGCAACAACTCCCCTCAGATATGTTTTCAAAAGTAGGCCAAGATAGATGTGCAACCAGGTTCAATGCAATGTTGTTTATAATGACCAAAACCTAAAAATAACAAGTCCTGGTTGTTGGACACACTCTACAAATGGAGTACCATTTAGCCACTAAAAGAATGAGCTAGCGGCTGGGTGTGGTGGCTCATGCCTGTAATCCCAGCACTTTGGGAGGCCGAGGTGAGAGGACTGCCTAAGCCCATGGGTTCGAGACCAGTCTGGGCAACTTGGTGAAACCTCATCTCTACAATCAATAAAAAAAATTATCTGGGTATGGTGGCGCATGCCTGTAGTTACAGCTATTTGGAAGGCTAAGGCAGAAGGATCACCTGAACTCAGCAGATCAAGGCCGTGAGCATGCCACTGCACTCCAGCCTGGGTGACAGATTAAGACTCCAACTCAAAAAAAAAAGAAAGAAAGAAAAGTTGGGCAGGGTGGCTCATAACTATAATCCCAGCACTTTGGGAGACTGACGTAAGAGGACTGCCTGAGCCCATGGGTTCCTGACCAGCCTGGGCAAGTTGGTGAGACCTTATCTCTACAATAAGTAAATAAATAATTAGTTGGGTGTGGTGGCGTATGCCTGTTGTTCCAGCTACTCAGAAGGCTGAGGCAGAAAGATCGCCTGAGCACAGCAGGTCGAGACTCTGGTGGCTGTGAGCGTGCCACCTGGACTAGGTGACAGAGTGAGATTCTGGTTTAAAAAAAAAATTAGCTGGGCATGGTGGTGTAGTCCTAGCTATTTGGGAGATCAAGGAGGGAGGATCACTGAAGCCCAGGAGTTCGAGGCTGTGATGAGATGTGATTGTGCCACCGTACTTTAGTCTAGGTGACAGAGTAAAACCCCAATTGGAAAAAAAAAATGGGCCAGGTTCAGTGGCTCAGCCTGTAATAATCCCAGCACTTTGGGAGGCCAAGGTGAGTGGATTGCCTGAGCCCATGGGTTTGAGACCAGCCCAGGCAACTTGGCAAGACCTCG